TTATAATTTGCCAAAGTTAAGTTCCAAACAAGAAGCTTGGATTAATGCGGTACTTGGATCTAGTGATGATGAATTAGAGTCACAAGAGTTTCTAGCAAGTTTGCCAACACCGGAGGATGTTATCGTCGATATGATGCGACAATTAGAATTGGATTTTAAAGGAAAATACAAATATTAGATTACATCCGAGAACTAATTGAAACAGAACTCTTCCTAGAAGGTGGCTGCGTAAATTAGTTACTCATCTAATATTTGTAACAAATATTAGTTTTACATATGAGAACTTATTGAAATAGAACCCTTCCTAGAAGGTGGCTGCGTAGATTAGTTACTCCACTAATATTTGTAAATTGTAACTTCTAAGTTCTAAGTTGCAATTAGATTTTATTGAATAAATTTGAAGGCTTTGTTAAGTCTTTTTTATATAACTATTGTCTTGCATTTTAATTTTAGTATATTCATACATATTTACATATATACTAAACTAACTTTAAAATACTTAATTTAAAAATCAAAATTTCAAGTTTAAATTACTTTAAAATATTTAAAATACAAATTTGAACTTCTCAAATTTGAAATTTGAAATTTGAAAATTGAAAATTGAAAATTGAAGTTAGAAATTTGAAAGTTGAATTTGAAATTTGAAATTTGAAGTTTGAAATTTGAAGTTTGAAATTGAAATTTGAATTTAGAAATTTGAAAACTTAAGCATTATTTATTAGCTAAAAATGTTATTGAAAAAAAATCAAATAAACTAAAAATGTTATTCAATAACATATAATTTCAATACAAATAAATAAGTATATAAAAATAAAAAATCCCCCGTCCCGTCCCGTCCCGTCCCCCCAAAGCCCGTCCCATCCCGTATATATAGTGGGACGGGACGGGACTTCTTTTGTCCCCCCAATCCCGGTCCCGGCAAAATCCCCCCAGCCCCGTCCCCCGTCCCGTCCCCCTTCGTCCCGTCCCACAGTCCCCGTCCCCGTCCCCTTGCCAGCCCTAATCTCTGCAGATGTTACTTTTTTCGAGACTTCTCCGCATCTTTCTCCTAATACGGAAAATCAAAAGGCCATAGCAGTTCTTCCCATTCCAACTATTCCAACCCCAGCTCCACCTCCAACTCTTAAGGTCTATTCCCGACGACCTCAGCCTCCTGCTAAACTTGCTAATCCAGTTGGTACTTCTAACTGAACAGGTGCACAAAACAATCTTGGTGACTCATTACCTGCTCCAACAATGTCTTCTGCTTCGGTCAAGCACTTATCTGATGATCTTCCCATTGCTCTTCGCGAAGGTACTAGAACTACAGCCAATCAAATTCCTGTTTATTCTTATTTAAGTTATCATCGTTTGTCACCTTCATATCATGCCTTCCTTACTAGCTTATCATCAGTCAAAGTTCCTAAGACTGTGGCAGAAGCACTGGTTAATCCAGGTTGGTGTCAAGTAATGATTGAGGAGATGACTGCTTTGCATGATAATGGTACTTGGGAGCTTGTTCCTTTACCTGAAGGCAAAACCACAGTTGGTTGTCGTTAGGTATTCACCATTAAGGTCGGTTCGGATGGAGCTATTGATCGTCTCAAAGCAAGACTAGTTGCTAAGGGATACACTCAAATTTAAGACATCGATTATGGAGACACTTTCCACCAGTTGCCAAGATGGCTTATGTCCGTCTTCTCATCTCTATGGAGCAACAAATCATTGGCCCCTTTTTTAATTGGATATCAAAAATGCATTCCTACATGGAGAACTTGTTGAAGAGGTATATATGGAGCAACAATCAAGGTTTGTTGCTCAGGGGGAGTCTAGACTAGTTTGTAAACTTCGTCCATCTCTCTATGGTCTCAAGCAGTTTCCCAGAGAATGGTTTGGTCGCGTTCGAGATGTGGTTCAACATTTTGGAATGATTCGAACAAAAGTTGATCATTCTGTATTCCATAGGCATTCTTCTTTTTCTTTTTTTTTTATGACAAGGGAAACCCGCAGCCGCTACCCTTTGGGTGCGCACAGGGTAAAACCCCCGCTCCTATGCAATAGCTCGCAACCCGCACTAGGCAAGCCCAGTGCGACGAACTCGACCCAGAAGGCAAACCCCTTGCTTTCGCTGGCAAGGGGTTTCGAACTTGAGACCTCCAAGATGGAAGTCTCAAGCCCAAACCACTGGGACACCCCGAAGGGTAATATTCCATAGGCATTCATCTCCTGGCAAATATATCTTTTTAATTGTTTATGTTGATGATATTGTTATCACAGGAGATGATTATGAAGGTATTGCTCAACTCAAATAACACCTTTCATGTCACTTTCAGACTAAGGATTTGGGCAAGTTGAAATACTTTCTAGGCATTGAAGTGGCACAATCTGGCCATGGTATTGCTATTACTCAAAGGAAATATGCCTTGGACATTTTGGAAGATGTTGGTATGTTGGGTTGCAAACAGGTGGACAGTCCAATGGATCCAAATACTAAGCTTATTCCAAGACAGGGGGAGCCTCTAAAAAATCGTAGCAGATATTGGAGACTTGTTGGCAAACTCAACTATCTTACGATAACACGACCAGACATCTCATTTGTTATTAGTGTAGTTAGCCAATTTTTGCAATCACCTTGTGATAGTCCTTGGAATGCAGTGATTCGCATCCTGCGATATATCAAAAGCTCTCCAGGACAAGGTTTATTGTATGAAGATAAGGGACACACCAACATTGTCTGATGCAGATTAGGCAGGATCACCTTCTGACAGACCGTCCACTTTAGGTTATTGTGTTCTTAATTGGAGGCAATCTAATATCTTGGAAAAGTAAAAAGTAAGTTGTCGTAGCTAGATCAAGCGCAGAGGCAAAATATCGAGCTATGGCACTAGCTACATGTGAGCTTATATGGTTGAGACAACACCTCTCCTTCTTGAATTACTGTGTAAATCTGAGACCTCATGGCTCTCAACCACTTCATTGACCACTGGGACACACCCTTGGGTGCCATTAAGAATGTTTTTCTACATGGTGATCTTGAGGGAAAAGTCTATATGGAGCAACTACCTACTTATGTTGCTTAAGGGGAACTTAGAAGCCTTGTGTGTCGACTGTGCACATCACTCTCTACAATTTTAAACAGTCTCCTCGAGCTTAGTTTGGAAAGTTCAACATAGTAATTCAAGATTTTGGCATGACTCATTGTGGAGTTGATCACTATGTTTTATCAACATTCTACATCGAATCTATATATTTATTTGGTGATTTATGTTGACAACATCATTATCACAGGCAATAAACAAAATGGTATCACTAATTTTAAGCAACATCTCTTTCACCAATTCCATCGGCAGTATGAAGTATTTTCTAGGTATTGAAGTTGCTCAATCCAGATCAAGTATGCCTTAGACATTCTTGAGGAGACAAAAATGATGGGGTGTAGACCCATTGACACTCCTATGGATCCAAATGCTAACTCCTACAAGGGTAGGGGAGCCACACAGTGATCCCGGAAGGTATAGGTGACTGGTTGGAAAGTTCAATTATCCCACGGTGGCTAGACCTGACATCTCTTTTCCTATGAGCGTGTTGTAAGTCAATTTATGACTTCTCCTGTGATAGTTATTGGGATGCAGTTGTTTGAATTTTGTGACATCTAAAGCCAGTTCCAGGTAAGGGCCTACTCTTCGAGGATCGAGGTCATGAGCATATCATTGATATACAAACGTTAATTATGCAGGAGCACCCTCTGATAGACATTCTACATCCGAATATTGGGTTTTAGTAGGAAGTAATTTGGTGTTCTACAAAAGTAAGAAACAGAGTGTGGTTGTTTGATCTAGTGCAGAAGCATAATATCAAGCAATGGTTGTAGCAACTTGTGAGCTAGTTTGGATCAAACAATTGTTGAAGAACTAAAATTTGGAGAAATCAATCATATGGAATCTGTGTATGATAATCAACCAGGCCTTCATATTGCACCAAATCCAGTATTTCACAAAAGGGCTAAGCACATTGAGATTAATTGTCACTTTGTAAGAGAAGATACTCTTAGGAGATATTGTTACAAAATTTGTGAAGTCAAGTGATGAACCTTCAAATATATTTACCAAGTTCTTCATTAGCTCTCATATCAATTACATTTGCAACATGCCTGGTACACACAACTTGTATGCACCCGCTTGAGAGGATTATTAGAATAGGAATAGGAACAGGAAAAACATATAGAATACTACTTGGGAAAGGATTTGGAATAAAGCATCTATAAATAGTACTCCCTCCGTCCACATTTATTTGTCATGTTGCGCTTTTCACAAGTCAATTTGACTAATTTTCAAAGTTAAATTAGATTACATTAATTCGATATTTTAAACAAAAAACTTAGATATTCAAAAACTATACGAAAAGTACTATACATTGCAATTTTTTGCACATCAATATGATGAAAAAATATATTGTAAAATGTTAGTCAAAGTGTTTATAGTTTGACTCTAAAAATGGAAAGTATTACAATTAATAGTGGACGGAGGGAGTATCTCAATTTAATAATGTAGATACACAATTCAATAATATTTTTCTCTTATATTTCTCACATGGGCCTATTTACACTAATAAACAGTGTTGACTGTTTAGAATGTGTAAATTAGTTTCTTAAATATTCATTAGAACAGTTGAACTCTTTTTCAAATCTAATAAAGGGATTCTTCATTATTTTTAAAAAAAAATTAAGTTGGTCTATTTTATAACATAGGTACAAAGGAAAAATGTTATATTTTCTATTTATTAGATTAGTTTTGCTAAGTGGTGTCCTCCCCTGGGAGGGTGTTATACAAATGCTACAGCCATCATAGTCATTGCCTTTATGACCTTAAATTCATATCGAAGGGGTAGACTTGTGTATGAAGCATCCTGCGTTCACGCAGGACCCAGGGAAGCACTAAAAAATCATTTCATGAAATGAAAATCATAGAACACAAATTCATGTATTCAAGTGATACCTTTTTAGTGAAGGGGTATGAACTGACCTGTTACCAAAGCAGGAATGCCGAGCAGAGATGCTTATGTTTATTGTGCGAATGTTATGGCGCAATCTAGCTTCCTCGGGCAGTAACAAGTAACCCTAAAAATAAATGGTAATACCCAAGAATTTACAACAAGACAAACTTTAGCTTTTCATCAACAACTTGAGAGAAGATGCATAAATTAACAGTAAGAACCACAAAGCAACAGTAGTACCTTCTCTTTGGTGTATAAATAATTAGGTTCAAATGCATTGCTTCTTGTCTCAAGCCACTGCACTACCAGGTCAAATAAAGATCACAACCATCACAAGATAATTCAACAAAACCACCAACAACAATTAAACAACTAAGGGGTCGTTTGGTAGAATGTATAAGAATAATGTTAAAATAGACTGTATTAGTAATGCTTGCATGAGCAATACATGTTTTAGTTGTGCTTGCATTAATTATACATAGATTATTTTATGCATCGTTTGGTTTGATGCATAAAAAAATAGCATGCATTGCATAATAAATTTAATTTACAAAGATACCCTCCACTATTATGGTGGAAAGGATGTAAAAAAGGTTTTAAGGGGCAATTGCGTCTTTATATGCTAATGCATGCATAAAAATCATTGCATTGCTAATACCTAGAAATCCATGGTATTAGCAATACACACCTTAATACACTATAGAGTGTATAACTAATGCAAGCATTAGTTATGCATAGGTTGGAAAAGAGTACCAAACAAGGTACTAGTAATACACAAGACTAATGCATGCATTATTTTTACTAATGATAGGTGTTTTGAGAACGTAGAGAATAGTATAGAACAGATCAAGTTGTTTGTATCTTGATTCTGTGTTTTTTGGTGTAACCAAATTTGGTCTAGTGATCCTGTATTTATTATTGATGTGTTAGATTCATTATAGACATAGGATCTGGATTTACTAGTGAATATGGCTCCAGTAGTTTAATGTTATTTTTAGGACGACAAAAATGCCCAACGAATGGAGGTGAATACAATGATTCCATTGTACAAGAACAAGGGTGATATCCTAAACTATAATAATTACACGGGTATCAAATTGTTATGCCACATTATGAAAGTTTGGAAGAGAGTGGTGGAGATGAAGGTGAGGAAAGTGGAGTCCATTTCTGAGAATCAATTTGGATTCATGCCAAGACGGTCAACTACTAAAGCTATCCATCTTGTGCGGAGAGGGGTGCAGAAATATAGGTAAAGGAAGAGGGACCTACATATGGTATTCATTGACCTTGAAAAAGCATATGACAAATTCCCGAGGGATGTCCCCCGGAGGTGCTTGGAGACTAGAGGTGCTCTGATCGCTTATACTAGGATGATAAAGGACATGTAGATGGATCCAAGACTCCGGTTAGAATGGTGGCAGAAGACTCGAAGCACTTCCTAGTTGGGATGGGGTTGCACTAGGGATCAGTTCTTAGTCCTTTCCTATTTGCCTTGGTGTTGGATGAGTTGATGCAGTCGATTCAGAAGGAATTTCCATGGTGTACGTTATTCTCGGATGACATAATAATGATTGATGAGACACAGGATAGATTTTATGTTAGGTTGGAGGTTTGGAGACAAACTATGGAGTCCAAAGGGTTCAGGTTGAGCAAGACCAAAACGAATATTTGGAGTGCAAATTCAGTGTTGCATTGGATGAAGCAAACGTGGAAGTGAGGCTTACGACACAGACTATTCCTAAGAGCTTGAGTCTATAATCCAAGAAAGTAGGGACATCGACAATGATGTCACACATCGCATTGGGGTAGCATGGATGTGATGGAGACTTGCCTCGAGAGTCTACTAATAAAGTACCACCTAAACATAATTAAGAACTCCTTCTCGCGAGATGTAAAGATGGCTGAAATACTAAGAAGTATTTCCTTCTTTCTCAATTTTTACATGGTATCAAAGCAATTGTTGCTTGAGTTTCCCTCCCTAGAAGAATTAGGGCTCCTTTTTTCTTCAAAAAGAGGTCGAGTTTTCTCTCCTTTAAGTTGTCCAATGCTTTTTTCCAATATTTACTTCTTTGTCAAATCAATCATAACCACTACCTACATTCCAGGTGATTGTGCACCACAAATAAGAGCTAATAAAGAGACCAACAATTACTTAGAAAGATATCACGATTCTTGGTGGAAAAAAATGATTTGTTGAGGCAGAAAAATAGATATCAAATTTCTACCAAGATAACTGGAAGTTCTAACTTGATGACTCCATCATCTATGATTGAGTTGCAAAAACTTCTGGATAGGTATCCTATATCTTAACCAAATTCTTTCTGGTTAAAGAATTTCTTTCTAGTTGCTCTGGAACAATTAGGAGATTCTATAGAAGAAATATGGGGTTTTGCTTTTGGCGGCAACATGCTTGGTCCCGCTCATGGGATCAAATCAATACGTTCAAGAAGAAAATTGGATTATCAATTTGATCAAGATCTCTTTTCCTGATTTGCGGTCCTATATAGCTTAATCAATACTATAGTAAAGGAGGATGCAATTGGATTTGAGTTGACATAGCTTCCTGGATTTAAAAATGTCAGGGAAAGGTGTGCAAACTGAAGAGAGCCTTGTACATAAAGAAGCAATCCCCTAGAGCTTGGTTTGATAGATCCTCCAATGTGTTGCTCTCTTTCAATTACAACAAAGTAATGTCGATCACACCCTCTTCATAAGACATCAATAGGGTAAAACTCTTCTCATTATTTATGTTGATGACATAGTAATCTCAGGAGATGACCCAATTGAAGTTGTCAACACAAAAAAAAAATTAAAAAAAATCAACTATCTAGGGAAGTTATTTCTTGGGGATTGAGGTTGTTGGATCAAAAAGAGGATTTTTTATTAAAAGGCTTGCAAGCTTTTACTAATTTGGATTGCACTTGATCTTTAAATGATAGAAGACCTTATCCGGTTATCATACACTCGGAAGAGGGAACCTAGTTACTTGAAGAAGTAAGAAGCGACGTGTAGTTGCAAGATCAAGTAAGGAAGCAAAATATAGAGCTATGGCCTAGGGTGTTAGCGAGCATCTTTGGCCACAAAAGTTGCATGGAAGAATTGAGCTTGTCTGAAAAAGGAAAGTCTTGTACTGCAACAACAAAGTTGTAATCAGTATAGCTCAGAATCCTGTTCAACATAACCAAAGGCGAACAAAACATATTATAATTGATTGACACTTTATTTAAGAGAAAGTTACTAGTGGCCCCTTGAGTTTGCTTCATGTACCGTCAAACAAACAGCTAGATAATGTGTTTATAAATGGCCTCAGCAAAAGGACTTTTCATACTTTGGTTTGCAAGGCCCCCATGTGCTACATCTTTGCTCCCACTTGACAACTTGAGAGGGAGTGTTGATTGTGTTAACTAATTAGCATGATTTTAGGAGACTTTACTTTTCCTTTTTCTAGAGTAATCATCATAGGATTAGAATATTTCCTTTTATTGTAATTGATTGTCTTTCTCTGATTGATTAGGATTCACTTGAATAATACCTCTTCTTATGGTATATAAAGACATACTGAAATACAAAGAAGTCTTTTCTTCTTGCTCAATTTCTACATAACATTCAAAAAAGTGAGCAGTTAAATACCAACTCAGTAACCTTTTTCGCCATCCAATATTGGGAAGAAATGGCATAAAAAGAAACTCATATTTTTCCTGTACTAAGATTAGCTCATTATATAGTTGCAGATACTGCACAGAATTATTCAAAGTTAGATAGATACCAGCATAAGAGTTTAGCTTGTCCAAGTGAAGCGTCTTGAGCAACTTAGGAATGTCAATATGTAGATGTATACCAGCAATTTCCTGCACATGGAACTTTAATCTGAGAACCACGTTAAAGCAGCAACAGAATGTGCTTAGCTCTTTAATTTACAAGGAAAAACTGAAAAGAAACGAAATGTGCATTTGCTTATTAAATTTGACTGAAAAACTAACAGCTCATAATTAGATATGGGTAGAACCAAACTTGATAGTGAAAGCAACCAAGTTGGATGTCACCTATATATAAGAGTGTACAGGATAAGTAATGCATCATTTCTTTTGAACAAATATCAGGTATTTAATATCTAGCAACACAATGTCTCAAGCCCAAGCACTACCATAAATATGATCAGCAAAGTAAACCCCAAGTTAGACGTTCTTATCAGTCAGTAATCATAGAACTCAAACAAAACTTCCGCAAAACACAATTAGGTGATAGCTGTTCTAGACAATTTCATAAAAACAACATAGGGTAATCTTAGTAGCTCAGCTGGTTGGCTACCTGAACTCCCACCTTGTTGGTGAGGGTTTGATTCCCCACATTGTAATCCCCATCCATTTCCCTTTCCCCTACCCCTAATTTAAAAAAAAAAAAACAAAAACATAGGGCAAACGTTGGCACTAGTCTGCAATTCAATCAATGACCTGCCATAATCCAGAACCCAAAATGTGCAGAACAGAGCAACCGAAACTGAAAGATGAAACAAAGCAATCATATTTTTACAATGTGAATTTATAATTTACATTCAAACTTCAAAATCTTTTATTCAAATGCATATCTCAATAAAAACTCAACTTATGTTGCGGGTAAAAAAAATTGTGACTGAAGGTACAACACAACACCTGATCTCCCCAGTTCCTTAAGAATAACTGACAAACACAATAAACCTTCCATGTAGAATTTTAATAAATTGGGAAAAATACAATAGCTATCACCTTCTTCTCTACATACCGTAACCCTTCCAAAAGATAAGCACAGAAATGCATAAAACTGCAATGTTATAACACAATGAGAAACATCATTAAACATCTGGGTAATAGAAGTAGGCAGGTATGTGATATTCATATTCATTTTCTTAATTAACTCCCTTCATAAGAGATAACTATACCTAGTCTACCAAGTACAAAGAGTTGCATGTGAAGCAATAAATACATGGGAAATCCACAAGTAAAGCTAGTCTTCCTAAGTGTATTTCTAGTCTGTTAAATGGGGAAATATCACAATCTAGGATTAAGACCACTCAATATGACCTAGGATCTTCATTTACATCTAAAACACTAATAAAAGATGACATAATTCGATGCACAACAAGATGTTAATACTTCATAACAGTATTCACTTTGCTGTTCCTCAAATAAGGGAATCCCATAATATGCCAAAATAAAGTATCAAAGAAGATGCAAAGAATTCTTCCGAGCAAGTTTACACTTTATCCAAACTTACCCATAATCCTCCAAGGACTCGCTTGGAAACTCTCCAAATGAAAGACAAGCGCCCATTCCATTTTTGGCCAATTCGAATTATAGCTGCTTTTAGTGATTCCTTCGGCGAGATGAAAAATCGTGCACGTGAAACTTCCTTACTGATTTTGGGGACCACATCATCACCCACTGACTCACTGTTCGTTGAACTTCCCAATGAAGACTCAGAGGGCTCATTGTTTGAATATAATAGAGATTTACCACTCTTAGCTCCATCACTTAACCAGTCCAACCATGGTTTTGTAGCAGCAGTAACTGAACTATCTTCATTCACATGTTTCAGGTTCTCATCAATAGGTTCTTCATTGACAACATTTACTACATCATAGTTGGTTTGATTTTGTGACCACAAGCCAGCACTAGTTATCTGTAGGAGAAAACAGAGTCAGCTGAATCTTTCAATAACTGGCACATGTGAGTGTTCAGAAATTTACTAAACAACCATTACAGCTAGCAGCTGCAATAGTGCAGTTGATGTACAAAATCGAGATATAATAGATTCATGAAAATGCTAAATGTTCTGCGAGAACTCATCCTTCAATATTAGTCAACTCAGTTTATCATCGATATTAACTTTGAACCAGGTCATTTTTCACTGTTCATATTTCTATCAAATTTTTTTAGAACAATTTGTCGAACTTCATTTTTTGAGAAGGTAACATATATTATATAATATCAGTTGCACAAGGGATGCGCACAGCATATTTACATTCCAAAAGAAAGCAAAAAGATCTCCTTGCTCTTCTTACAGTTTGTTGAACTTTATTAGCACACAATTTCTTTTGCTAAGAAATAATGTGAACCAGTTCCAATTAGACAAAAATGCAAAAGAAAGAAACAACCAAAAAACATAGCTTCTTAAGATGTTATGTGAATCATTCAACTGTACAAGATCTAACCTCTTTTTTATATTTCTTTGGATAACAGTAGCGTCTTGGCCGACTAGCACACCTCAACTAATCTACCAATACTTGTTATCCACCACCAACACATGTACTAGATAACGCCTTTTTTTTAAGACCGTGGTATCTGTGTCAGCTTTCGCGTACCTCGACTAATTTCACGGGATGCCTACCACCTCCGACCAGCAACAGGTACCAGGTAACTCTGTCTACCAAGCCTATGACAGATGGGAGGAATCACCTAGTGTTTTTGTCTCCGCTATGTTTTGAACCTGAGACCTCAAGGTTCTCAACCACTTCATTGATCACTAGGCCACACCCTTGGATGCCATGTACTAGATAGCTCTGTTAACCTAGGTATGGACAGACAAAAAAATCACCTAATGTTGTCTCTGTGCTCAGCAAAGATTTGAACCTAGGTTCATATGTTGTTACTCCAACTCTTCAACCTTAGGCAATAGATTCCTAGGCATGTACTTAACTCATCAAATGAGCCACCTTAAACACGCAAGCTTATCAACATTACCATTCTCAAAGACAGTGTTTTGAAAGGCGAGAGGCGAGGCGAGGCCTCGTCGCCTATTACAGGAGTGGCAATGTGATTTCAAAATGGCGAAAGGCGACAAGGTAAGGCGCCAGGCGTCACCTTTTTGTTTTGTTTTTTAAAAAGGTCTAATTTAATAGTTAAAAGGCAAAATTAGGGTTATTTTGGTGTATTTGCAACCCTGGGATCCTCTTCTCTCTATTGCGACCTGCGAGATCTCTTCTCCTCTTTCGTCGCGACTCTCTGGCCTTCAAGAGGACGAGACTTCAACAATCAATGGCTGCTCAGACCTTCACATCGCGAGTGGCGACTCACTCAGCTACGTTCTTCTTCTTCATTTTTTTTTTCTTCTTCTTCAGTTCTTCTCTTATTCATCTTCTTCTTCTTCTCTTCTCTATTTTTCAGTGGCAGTGGCACAGGGTTCTGTTTTTCTTTTTCAATTTGCAGCTACTAAACTGATTGTCATACTGTTTCTGCCTATATTTTAAAAAAAAAAAAAATCAATCCTTCTATATTTATTTCTTCCCTACTAAATTTAGTTTTATACCATATAGTATTTATGTGTTCATAAATAGTGAATATAATGGCATCTGATGCTAACAAAAAGAAGAACATTGGATGGAATTATGGTATTCAAGGACCAAGAAAAGATTCAGTTATATGTATGTTTTGTATAGTTACTTATAATGGTGGTATTACTCGACACACGCAACATTTGTTGGGTGGAAACAAAAATGTAAACAATGTCCAACTAGTCCCACGGAAGTTACAGAAGAAATAAGGGTTAATATGGAAAATAAAATCGCCAGTAGTCTGAAATTTCAGGTGAGACAACCAGAAGAATTTGTGGTTAATATTGATGATGATGATGATGATGATATGAATGAATATGGTAAAATGATGCCTCCCTCAAAAACTCAAAAGATATCTTCTAGTGGAAGTGCATCGTCCACGGGGAGGAACGCGACGAAAGGCCATATCATTCTATATTCTGCAAAAATACAACAAAAAGTAGGCATTGAAAAAGAGCAGGAATTGATGAAACCAAGAAAATTCCAAGAGAGCGAGCGGTAAGTGCTTTTGCATCATGGATATACGATGTGGGGTTTCCTTTTAATTGAGTTTAATTACAAATCATTTGATAAATACAGTGAGACAATAGGACAACATGGCCCCGGAATGAATCCTCCTACCTTTCATAAAGTTAGAGTTACTCACCTAAAAAAAGAGGTGAAGAAAGTGGACAAAATTGTTGATGACCATAAAATGCACTTCCATCAGCTTTGAGGAGCAACAAGAACTACAAAAGCCTTTTGAAGAAGAGGAGGTCCTTCTTGGACTTAAAGCTTGTGCTGTAGACAAAGCACCAGGTCCAGATGGATACACAATGGGTTTTTTTGTTAATTGCTGGGAGATAGTGAAGGGGGATTTGATGTCTACTATGCAGAACTTTCACTCCCAGGAGTTTTTGAAAAGAGCTTTAATGCAACATATATAGCTCTCATCCCAAAAAGAGTGGTGCAAAGGAATTGAGAGACTTTAGACCAATCAGTTTAATTGGAAGTGTATACAAGTTGATTGCAAAGATTCTCACACAAAGATTGAAGAAAGTGATGCACAAGCTAGTAGATACTCAACAAATGGCCTTCCTAAGAGGAAGGCAAATAACTGATGCAATCTTAATTGCCAATGAGTGTCTAGACTCGAGAGTGAAGGAAAAGTCCCCAGGAGTCATGTGCAAACTGGACATAGAGAAAGCATATGATCATGTCAATTGGAGCTTCCTACTTGAAATCATGCAGAGAATGGGCTTTGGATTGAAATGGATCAGATGGATAAAGTTTTGTATAAGCACTGTTAAATTATCAATACTAATAAATGGATCTCCTGAAGGTTTCTTTCCATCAGACAGAGGAGTAAGACAAGGTGATCCCCTCTCACCTTTTTTATTCATTATAGTGGTGGAAGGCCTTAACAATATGCTAAAGACTGCTCACACTAAAGGGTGGATAAGGGGCTTTAATGTAGCAAATGAGGGGAATCTAAGATTGGAAGTCACTCATCTCCAATATGCAGATGACACTCTCATCTTCTGTGATGCAGAAGAAAGCCAACTTAAGATCCTGAGAGTGATACTCATTCTTTTTGAAGCAACTTCAGGTCTCCATATCAACTGGAGAAAAAGTCTTATTTTTCCAATTAATGAGGTGAACAGAATGCAACATCTGACAGAGATCTTGGGAGGAGAAATAGGTAAACTACCAACAGTATACTTGGGGATGCCTTTGGGAGACAAAAGCAAATCCAATGAAATCTGGAATGGGGTGCTGGAGAGATGTGAAAGAAGACTATCTAGATGGAAAGCACAATATTTGTCTAGTGGTGGAAGATTGACCCTGATCAACTCAGTCTTAGATGCTTTGCCAACATATTTGATGTCAGTTTTTCCTCTCACCCCTAAGGTGGAGGAAAGAATTGATGCATTAAGGAGGAATTTTTTGTGAAATGGAGAGAGAGAATACAAAGGATTTCATTTGGTCAAATGGAAGACTGTAATTCTTTCAAAGAAACAAGGTGGTTTAGGCATTAGAAACTTGAAGAAACAGAACAAAAGCCTTATGATGAAGTGGTTGTGGAGATTTCCTAAAGAAGAGCAGGCCATTTGGGTTAGAGTGATTCAGGCCAAGTATGAGAAGATAGATCACTGGAAAACTAAGGAAGTGACTTCTACCTATGGTATTAGCCTATGGAGATCAATCAGAAATTTGTGGCATTGTTTCTTTCAAAGAACTAGATTCAATGTAAACAATGGAAGAAAGATTTTGTTTTGGGAGGATAATTGGTTAGGAAATGGCAGCCTCAAACAGCTCTTTCCAGACATCTATCTGTTGAATCAGCAACATGAGGTCACTGTGCAAGAAGTTTGGTCCATCCATGGATGGAACTTAACATACAGAAGGAGGATACAAGACTGGGAGGTGGATAGACTAGCTGAATTTTATGGCACCTTGGACCATTTTGGAGGATTGAAAGAGGGAGAAGACACTCTTAGGTGGATTCATCACAGCAAAGGTATCTTCACAGTTAGCTCTGCCTACAAGAACTTGAATCAAATGGGGACTCAACTCAGATTTTTGCCTTGGAAGCTTATTTGGAAAGTCAAAATTCCATATAAGGTGACAGTCTTTACTTGGTTGGTAGTTAAAGAGGCGGTACTAACACAGGAGAATCTAATGAAGAGGGGAATACATGTGTCCTAGATGTTTTTTTTGTGAGCAACAGGCAGAGACAATCAACCATCTGTTTCTTCATTGCAAGGTGGTTAGACAACTGTGGCACTTATTTACAAGCTTCAGGGGCACAAACTGGACCATGCCACAAAGGGCAAGTCAGGCTATAGAAAGCTGGAACAATGAAGGCAGTGGCAATACAGACCAAACCAGATGGAGGATTGTCCCAGTAGTGATTTGGTGGACCATATGGAAGGAGAGAAATATGAGATGCTTTGAGAGTAGTAGTAGTCCTTTACACAGGATTAAAATGAACTGCATAATCACTTTTTGCTATTGGTGTAGTTCGGAGTATGTAGATGATCCTATAGCGATTAGAGATATCCTAGGTCCTTTGTAAGATGAAGTAGGATCTAGTTTAGTTTTGTTTTAAGTACACGCAATTGTATGTAGCTCCATGATGTAAATTTGGGATCCCAGCCTTTGGTGCTAAATATTAATACACAAAACTGTTACCTTTGTCAAAAAAAGTTTGGATGTTCTATTATGATGGACAAATGGATGGCATGATATGGTAAAATGATCATTTCATGATGGACAAATGGACGGCATGAAATGGTAAAATGATCATCAATATTTTGGTGAATTCTCCAATTGATAGTGTATTTCTTGGTTTTGTTGATGCTAGCAATGAATCTACCGATTCTACCAAAATATACAACTTGTTTTAAAACACAGTTGAAAGAATTGGATCGGAAAATGGATAGTCATCGATAATGCTAGTAGAATGATAAAACAAGAAGCATGATGATGAGTGCATACCCACACATTTATTGGGACTCCATGTGCTGCTCATTGCATCTACTTGATATTTGGTGACATATTCAAGATTAATCCATATGCTTCGGGTAATATCACTCTCGTATCCTCTAACTTTCTTTATAGTCAATATTTAATACTTATTAGCTACTAATTACTATAATATTACTTTAACAATTTTTAGGAAGGCCTTCAAAATCCATTCTTACATCAGTGAAAGGTCGTTGTTGTACTTGATATGAAAATTCTCCAATGAAAGAAATTTGGTGAAACCAGCCAAGACAAGATTTGCAATGGCCTTCTTAACTTTGAGAGTTATGTGCAACAACAGAAAAACTTGAGAATTCTAGTCCTCTCAACTGAATGTACTTCCAAGTAGATTTGCAAAGGGAACTTTGGGGAAAGAAATTGCCAACCTTCTTATTTCTGCCTACTTTTGAAATGATGTTGTTCGGACACTTAAAGTTTGTGGTCCTTTGACAACAGTGCTTCGTTTGGTGGATGGGGAGAAAAAACCACCAATAGGCTATACTTATGAAGCAATGGATAGAGCCAAAGAAACTATTAAGCGGGGTTTTGGTGGAGTTAAGAAGCAATATGAGAAAGTGTTTGAAATTATTGATGCAAGGTGGTCAGACCAAATCCATCGGTCTTTTCATACTGAAGGCCATATTTTGAACCCAGGATTGTTTTATAGAACTCATAACAATGGCCCTATACATCCTGATGTGTGGAGGGATTATCATGCATGTGTTGAGAAGATAAACCCCGATTTAGCAATACAAGATTTATTAGTCGTTGAGTTGCCCAAGTACAAAACTGCGGATGGACCATTTGGTTGTGGTCAAGCTCAAAGAGCCGACACAAGGTCACCGGATAAGTGAGCTGACTTGGTTCTTTATAGTTTATACTTTATACTATAGCTTTACTTAAGTTGTTTGACTTACTTATACTTACTAACCTTTAAATTTATTTTTTATAGTTGAATAGTGGTTATTATTTGGTAGTCAAACTCCAAACTTGCAAAAGTTTGTCATGAAAGAATTAAGCCTAACTTGTAGATCATTAGGGTGTGAGCGAAATTGGAGTGTTTTTTTTATGACAAAGTGTGTTTGAATATGTAAGAAGAATATTTTATATCCAAATTTCCATATTTTACCCTAATCCTCGATCTATGTATCCTCTTATCTGGTCATGTCTTCAATAACATGTAGGTGTGTCATATCTTGTCTAGTCACCTTTTCTCAATACTTCTTTGATCTACCTCTTACGTCTCTTAAAACCCACCATAGCCAACTTTTTGCACCTGCGGCATCTGTGCATCTCCACTTCACATGCTTAAACCATCTCAGTTTCGCATCCCTCATCTTGCCCTACCACTGGTGTCACTCCCATCTTGTCCCATATATCTTCGTTTTTTAATTCATCTCTCCTAGTATACCCACACGTCTATCTCAACATCCTTATTTCTGCTACTTGCATCTTTTTGACGTGACCCCATACAACATAATCGATTTAACAGCTTTATAATACTTACCTTTAGGTCTAGGTGGCACATATATATATATGACATATACCCAAAAATCAAACCAAATACCCAATCAAGACTTCACGGTCTAAAATGTGGTCAAAGTACTCAAGATAAGTTGACCAAATCTGGTATGGATCCCACACTCATGTCATGTCAACACAGGTGCGATGGCGATTTTGAAGAGTTAGCACAACATAGACAAGGACAACAACATAAGTCATACATTTAATAAGTTCTCACCATGAACTGTGGCTTACTTTGCTTGCTTCCAGGCTAAAAACTTTTCAACTAAAGTTGTTACTTCCCAAACCCAAAATCTAAACACACAAAACACTGAAGACTTTTTTCAGCTTCAACTTTTCTTTCAACAACCCAAAACCTAAATGCATACAAAATTATTATTGAGAAAATAAAAAGGTACAAGTTTTGCAGTAACAGCAGATGAGATCACTCACCTTGATTTGAATGAGTTGTGCATCTGAGATGTTCACTCTAGACAGTTCACTTGAACAGCCAGGCTACACAGAACAAATTATAGTTCAGACGAGAATAAAAAAATTATAGTCATTACTTAAAAATTTTACATGGAAAGGAAATGAAACTCCCACCCCCAAACAACCCCACCATATCCAGAAAGAAGAGAAACCTACATAAAGAAGCATTAAGAGAGTTGGTCAATCCAAAATTGATAGCTGAAGAACAACATTTTTATTCTAAAAACTTAAAAGGTAAATAATTTTATTAATTATGAGACAATCTGGCATAGAGAAATAGAAGTATGATTCTAAACAATCAATACCCAATCTTGTAAATAAAAAAAAACCAAGGGTATTCCTGAGATGTACATAATCATTTCTTTGAAAGCTCTAATATTTGGTGCTTGTGGGCAATCAAAAAGACCTAACTGCAAATTGTTTCACTTAGTGTCAGTAACTGAATATGTATAGGAGGGAGCAGGTGAAGCATAAACATAGGTAATCCTACTTTTTTTCCCCTGAATGAAACAATTATTAAAAACCTAACGAAAATTGTAATAATTAGAAAAACCTGTTGAACGTAATTGGCGTGCATAACAACAAGTATACAGAAGAGGGTAACGGCCATGAAGAGATACAAATACTCGAGAGTAGCTCTGATCCTGGGCGTCAGCATCTGAGCAAATCGTTCTTGAACCCGTATAAACGTCTGCTCTGGATCCATCTAAACATACATACAACTCTGATTTGGGATTTTCAGTCTTCTCGTCAGCTCTTCACAATCAACCTTGTCATATCAATTCGCGAATTAAATTTTGTGGGAACGAATACTCTTACTTGGAAACCATTGTCAAAGTTCAAAGTTGTGATGCGATGCTCACAGATGAGGATGTCAAATATATTTGTTTTCTTACCATATATATATATATATATTATTTTTTATTTTTTTTAAATTCATATGTGGAGCTATTAGCTCCATTTTATTAATAAATTAAATAAATTAAATTAAATTAAATTAATCTGTACAAAAAGGGCCAATTGAACCCAAAGAGGAAAGAAAAGAAGAATGGAAACAACAAAAAGGAAATGAGAAGGTCCAGACCAACTAAAAAGCCCTCTTTTAACCAGATCCCTAAATCATTGGGTTTCTACTTTGAGCTTCCGACCAACTCCCATGTCGCCGCTCGGAGCCTTCGTCTTCTCTTGTTGTGATTATCAACTCCTACTACAATGGTGGCGCTAGTTCCATCTTTTCTCAGCTCATAAAAGTAATCGATAGGGGAGACTTGTGCTCTCAGGTAAGTGTTTTCTGTGAGAATCTTGCCTCTTCATCTCTGTGAGCCGCTTTGTTATGATTGTTTTTTTCTTCTGCATATGTTCATGTTAATGTCCAACATTCCCGATTCTTCTTGTTTTGATTCTCAACATGGGTATTTGTGTTTTATCCGTATTTAAAATATGTTTGCATTCTACCGATAATTGATTAAAGCTCTGATATTGTACTAGCTCTTCATGATTGTACGCCTCATTCGCCATCTTGTCTTCTAGATTGTTCACTTCCCTAAAAATATGTTTAATACTGGATTGTGTAATTTGAACTAGCTCTTGTATCTCCTCTATTATCTCTGTTTGCTGCCATGGTATTTTCCACTGTCTCCTTATTATGTTTGTGAGCGCTTTCGAGTCTGATTCTATTTGTACTCTTTCAAGGTTTGTGTTTCTACAATGTCTTAGGGCTTTTAGGATTGCGAGGGACGCTGCCTCCATGTTAGTTCCATATCCTATTTTATTTGCCTCTACATACACTAGGTTTCCATATTCATTCCTTATGCAAAAGTTGTACGAGCTTTCTCCCGGATTTCCTCTACAAGTTCCATCCGTATTGCATTTCATCCTTCCATTTGTTGGCTTCTCCCATTTTATTGCTTGATGGTGTAATTGAGGCTTGTAACTGTCTAAGACTCTTAGTATTCCTTCTCAATTCCTTGGAATGTCAATCCAGGGATATAATGTTTTTACAAGCTGATAGACAGTGTTTATAGATTGCCTATGTAACTTGTGAAACTCCACCCCTGCTCCATGCCTCTTTGCATTTCTTCTCTTCCACAGTTCCCACATTAGCACAACTGGAATTGCTTGTAGTATTAGGCTCAATTTGGTTTTGGTTGTTGTTCCCCACTATGCTATAATAGTTTGTTGTAGTCCTTCTTGTATTTGAATACCTGCACAATCAACAAATTGCCTCCATAGCTTTTGAGCTATAGGCGCTGTTAGAAATAAATGGGTCATTGTTTCCTGTTCATAAGATTCACAGTAGTAGCATCTGGAGACAATGCTCATTCTCATCTTCTTAAGATTGTCTTCTATTGATATTCGACCTTTCCAACACCTCCACAACAAAAAGTTAATCTTAAAAGGAATCCCCTTAGTCCAAATATATCTCCACCCAAGTCTCCTATTTTTTTCTTTGTCTCATGATGTCATATGTAGAACTCACAGTGAAAATTTCGTTGGAATTTCCCATCCACCAAGGTTTGTCTTTTTCCCCATCCACCTGCCTCGAATTAATACTTTCCACTATGAAATCAGCCATTTCCCCTTAGATATTCGAAGTTTATTCCTATCCCATTCTCTATCAATGATAAACTGTCTGATTTCTAGTTCTTCCTCCCCACTTGCCTGATCTTCAGTGAAATAAAAAGCCCCTTGTTTGTGAAATGACCCAAAAAGTTCTTAAAAATGTGCTTCGGCAGTTACCGCAAACTTGTTTAGCTATATATAAAAAAATTCATTTCGTTTTTCAAAAATCCGACTTCATATTCTTGTTTAGGGGGTCAAATTGAGTGGGAAATGGGTCTAACCCAAATTTTAGAGGAACCGTATCAAAATCCGAAATTTCCAAGTGAAGCCTTTTTCGAGGGTCTACTTTGGAGGGTCATATCTCCTAGCACACAAATTATTGGGTGGTCAATAACATATCCATGGAAAGCCCTTTGAGTTAGCTACCTAACGCACTTCGTTTCACCTCATTCGGAGTTCGGACGAAGAAGTTATGCCCATTTTCGTAAAATCTGTCCGGCAGGAAAGACAATTTCCAGTGAGCGTTTTTACTGTTCACCCGCCTCATTTTTTTTTCTAAGTGTTGGACCATTTTTCCAAAGGGCATATGTTATTTCCTATATACCATTAGTTCAATTCTCATCTCTAAAACATTTCCCAAAACACCTCTCCCATACTTAGACACATTTTCTCTCAAGTTCTCTCAAGAACTCTAATCCAAAACCTTCCTCAAGATTGAAGAGACTCTTGCTCCAAGTTCCAAGCTTCCATTGAAGACACTCTCAAGACCTTCATAAAAACTCAAGGTATGTGGTGTTGAACTCATGGGTCCTTCCACCCATAGTGCCTAGACTCTATTCTACTCACTAATTCATGGTTTAAGTTAAGATTCATAAATTAGTCTTGTTCTTTGTAATAATTTCCTGCACATTAAATTTTAAACATGAAAAGTGATTGTTTTGAGCATGTTGTGACTCTAGAACTTGAACCTAAATTTGGAATGGATGTGGAGATTTTCATGTGGTATTGTGGGTGTTAAAAAGGTGTTGTTGTAGGTTGTTCACTGGTTTGGCTGCATAATTACTACCCTATTTTCCATGCTCTTTGATTTCATTACATGCCTTCAAGGTGTTTGACAAAATGTCCAACTACGGAGAATTGATGAATCGATGCTTTAAAGCTTAAGTTATGAGATGTATGGAAATCCAGAGATGTGTTGATGACAAACTAAGCTTGTGTATATGTTCATTCCATACGTGAGATTGCATTAGAGCCTAATGGGAATTTCCTATATAAAGTGTTGCATGACCATGCCCGGTCCGGGGGAAAAGAACCGGACAACCATGTGAGAGGTTTATATCTCACCACCTAGGATGCTTGGGGTGTGACCAACATCAACCATGTGAGAGGTTTATATCTCACCACCTAGGATGCTTGGGGTGTGACCAACATCAACCATGTGAGGGGTTTATACCTTGCCACCAGGGTGTCCGGGTGTGAACGGCATCCCCCATCCTAAGTTGGGGTTATAGATTTGTTGGATCATGCATACACATATGATATCTACTATTAGTATAGGTTTACTTAAACATGTTTTGACTTCACTTTGATCATGCATCCTCATATTGTTATTCATAATGCCTATGAAACTATTTCTTGTATTTCGATTGTGTCCTTGTCTATTGTTGTGTTGCACCCCGCATACTTAGTACATTCCAAGTACTAACGCATATTTTGCCTACATGATGTCACCATGTAGGGACCGGAGCTACTCTTGATCCTTCTTTCCATTCACGTGGCTAGTACGGTGCTTATCCGAGTTGTTGGTGAGTCCTCAATGATTCGAGGGCTATGTTATGTTTCCTACTCCTATGTTTTGAGACTTTAGCTTGCAATTGTATTTTGACTATGAGGGGAGCCGGTAGTATGTCATGGCCCCGTCCTATCTATGTATGTAGAGGTGTGCGTTGGACAAGTATTTTGTAAATGAGCTTGACTCTTGTTCTATGATGTCATTTTGAAATGGTTTGCCCTTAGTCCCTATTTCCCGTTAATTAATGTTGAATGTACTTCCGCGATCGATGAAGTGTGATGACAAGTTTGAGAGGCTTGTTTGGGGTTCCTTCGGGTTCCTCATTCACCATGTCACGTCTAGGCCCTAGGCTTGGGTCGTGACAGTTTGGTCCAATTATCAAACCAAAAACTAGCCTCTCTTGATTTAACTTGCCACCAGATCTCATGCTCTATAACTTCTCTTACTTCAGTCATCTTTTTCCAAGTATTGGAAGGCCCAGTTCCTTTTGCAATTAAAGGGTGAACCTTTTTGCAATTAAAGGGTGAACCTTTTTGCAATATTTATTCCACATAAAGGTGCTCCACAGAGATGTCGATGTTCTGAACTTCCACCATAATTTCCCAAACAAAGATCTTGATATATCCTTCCACGCTACCCAGCGCTTCCCTCTTTCTCCACCTATTTTGCTCTAGAAAAAAGTTGTAAATACTTGATGGAGTTGATCAATAATCTTTTTTTGAGGGTTCATGGCTGATAGTAAGTATATTGGCATGGGCTGTAGGACATTTGTAATCAGTATGAACTTGCCACCATAAGAAAGACACTTATTTTGCCATGCCATGATTCTCTTTTGAACCTTTCTAATCATCTCCTCAAAGTATGATGCTTTTTTCCTTCCATAGTAAACAGGGCAGCTCAAATACGTGAATGGGAATGAACCCTGTCTGATTCATGTAATTCTCCACAATCTAATACCCACTATTAATGGTGTGTTATCTTGAAGATAGAAAACACTTTTGTTCAAATTGATCATTTATCCTGAAATTTTTTCATACTCCCTTAACACCCTCATCATTTTGCTAACCAACTTTCTTTCCCCTGAACTGAATAGAATAGTGTCATCGGCATAGGGAAAATGATTTATTGAAGGGCTCCATTTAGGTACACCATATCCTTTGAAATCCACATCCTCCAGTAGCTTGTTTAATCCTCTCGCCAATACTTCTGCCGCTATGATAAACAATGTAGGTGAGAGAGGATCCCCTTGCTTTACCCCTCTCGGGGACCGAAAGAAACCATAAGACCTTTTGTTAACTAAGATTGAGTACCAGTTGTTGGAAATAAGTCTCCACACCATGTCTATGATAGTTTCTGAAAAACCAAATCTTCTTAATACTTTAATCAGAAAGAACCATGATACTCTATCGTAAGCTTTGGCCATGTCCAATTTCACCACCACATTATGATTCTTTTTTCGCTTGTTAATGTCCCTTATTATCTCTTGGGCTAACAAAATATTCTCAGTA